AACAGTTGAGTGAGTTCCTCACTCTTTGAAAGGGATTTTCTCAGAGTGTGATTACTTCTGTCCTTTCCTTTTTTTAAACCTATAATCCAACAAAGCTTCAAAACTTTTTTCATTAATTTAGATGCAAACCTCGTACCTTCACTCAGAAAGCTTAATGCTGGCAAAACTTCTTTGGAAGCAACACATAAATCATGGTAAGAAATTAACAGTTTGAAGTCTAATAAAAAGAGGTATACTGACTGCACCTGTGGCATTGTCAGAAGAGATATCGGTTGACGTGACTTAAAGGATGAAGACACAGATGAGGCATTTCCTATATTCAAGTCTATTGGATGTTCCCAATAGCCTGCAACTACCATTTGTAGCTTCTTTATTTAGAAAAGAACTTTTTTGAAATAAATCATAACTCTCCCATGCAATGACTACTTTCAGCTTTTTCAGCCAATCTAAGTCTATGCAGGGCACAAAAGCACTCAGAAGCATATTTCTTACAATTAATCACCTATAGCTACAAGCTGAATAGAAATCTTTTGACTTACTGTCATAGAAGGGTCCACAATAATATCCATGTACAGTCTTCAAGTGAATATGCACATCTATACACATAAATTACATACTGTATATTCAAACTCTCTCTCTGAAACATACATAGGTGGTTTTGGAAGTTATTTTCTCTAGTTGTACATATAGAAAGAAGAGTGACAAAAATTGAAAGGTATACATGAATGGGTTGATTTAAGGATTTATTATTGCTCCTAGGTTCTCGTCAGAGCTACAGTCTCCTTCTTTCGTGTTTCATGCCTTAAGCACAAGATTAATTTTTTTCTCAAACCAGTAGTATAATTTTTAAAAAAAATTTACTGTTCACTTAGCTTTAACAATAATATGGATGTACCTTGTGTTGACTTGTTTACCTTGCGCAGCCTTCTCCTCTTTCAGCATCCCCACACTGATTTAACTATGGGTTCATAAAAATTCAGTGCTAGGCAAGTACAACCATCTTCCTCCAGTTTTAAGTGTGAAACTGCAAAGATGTGTGCTCCTGGACAGATTTACCTGCATGACCTTTCCTGACAAAATCAAGTTATTCACATGCACAGCTGCTTTTAGAGCTGATCTCCTTAGTTATTAAGTCAGTACATTATATATTTAGCTTTTCCTCTAGTGGAGAAGATACATGACATCATTCTTCATTACAAAACACACTTCTATGGTATATGAGAGCAACGTCGAGGCAATTAAACTCACTGTAAGAATTTTCTGAATTCTTCAGTAGAACTACATATCTATATGGAAAACCAGGTTATGTTTCCACAGTGATTTACTGTATACAGCATAAAATAACAGAATGCTTACCTTCTTGAAGATACAGTTGTTTTCTTTCAAAAAAAATATGGAAAAGTTAAAAGGCAGCCCTCAGGACAAAAACTGTTTTCTGACACGTAAACATATTTACAACAGATAACATGAAACCTTTCATCTTCAATGCTTCAGACCAACTAAATGTCAACTTGGCAACTCTCTGGCTGCCAGAAATGTGTTCGGAAAGTGTTCCATTGCTTTGAAAGAGCCATTTGGCTCAAGGGACAATCACACACAATAGGATTTCTTCCTAGTGTTTGAAGTAGCAACTGCCAGATATTGGCAAGGCCTTACTGTTACTGTTGCTCTGAAGAAAATACCCTGTTTAGCAAGAAAAAAGGTTTAGTTGTTCCACATAATCTTTTCTAGCTGGTAGAGCTCACCCAACTCAATTTCGAAGCGAAAACACACAGCATAACACCACAATGTCCTGCTTCGTTGCACCAGCAAAAAACCTCACCAGGCTGTAAAAGCCATAATTCCAGTTAAAGAGTCACTTTAAATGATTTAACAATATCTACAGGAGGTAAGCAGGAATTGAGTGTTCAATATCCTTCTAGCAAAGCCCAGACCTTTCTACTTTTTATCTGTGATACAGAATTTAATTTGAAACTAAAAAGACTTGATGAAGGACAACTCATAATTCCAGAATCTGGATTATGTTCTGCTCAGTTAGAGTTAAAACAAGCCATCATTTATGAGGGAGGGGAGAGGGAGAAGACTCCTAGGAAAAAGAGACTTAAAGAAGGAAAGACAGAAAAAGGCAGACAGAACGACAAATGGGCACACAGAAGGCAAAGAAGAAACAGTATAATTTCAGCATGCTCACCATCCGGAAAGGTGAAGGAGTCAGAAACAGCAATGAATTTCAAAATGGCCATGTCATCATATCATAAAGCTGCAGCCAGCATTCTCTGCCAAGTTTGCTGGTTCAGTCCAAGAGAGGCGTACCAGAAAGAGATCGTTAACAGGCTGCAATGATTACTTTTGCCTTCCAGCATTAATTTTGCCTTTATGACTGTTGTCTTCTAAAAAGAAAGACATCACAGCAAAATCACCAATTCACACATGAAATACATGGGTTTCAGCATACTCTGCAAAAGAGTAATCACAGAATATATTTCCAGCTTTGCACTGCAAACATCAGTTTCTCCCCTTCAAACCCAAAGCAACACAATTTTCAGAAATGTTGACTGTAAGTCATCTGCTGCCTGCCTATACAGCTGCTCATCTTTACAAATTATAAAAACATCTGGAGATCCTTTCAGAATGAAGTGCACAATGTATAGATTGCAATAGAATATACACAAATCCTTGGGTACTAAGACAGATATACGCTGCACTTTCTTAAAAATAACACCATTTTTCTTTCAAAACAAGTTACTCCTGCCCAGAAGTAATTATTCAGAACCAAACTGCCCAAGTAATACAAGCAGAAAGGGGTTATAAATTTATTGTTTTGTCTAGCGACTCTCTACTAACAATCATTTCTATCTCTAACAGGTTTGTCTCATGTATCCTCACACTCTCCCCTTTGTTTTTACCAGGTTTAAGATCTGATCCTCTGGAGGTACACCTAGTATGCAGGGAAAATAAATAATTCCTAAAAGTCATTTCTTATAGTTAAGTCCCAGAAATTTTCTTAGTAGAGTAAGAATAGAGGGAGCCATGCACAACCTGGACTTTTAGCAGACTGAAGAGTAGATGAAGAGATCCACATTAGTAATTCTTCCCTTTAACCACCCTGAAATTACTTCTTTCCACTTAGTAGTGAAAGATATGGGCATTCTCCTTTAAGAGATTCAGGCTCAGAACCCATGAACAAAGTTGTAAAGGATAGGAATTGATCTGAGAAGAAAAAGATGCCCCTTAAGAAAGGTAGGTGGTAAAAAGGCACTACATCCACTCCACTCTTCCACCTTTCTCTCTTCAACAAACTCACTTTCTTACTGGGCCAGTTGCAGTCACTTCAGTTTCATTGTATCTTTATAATGTCATAGCAATAACTTTGCATCACAAGCTATTTACGTGCCAGCATACCACAAAGCCATAAAAACCCAACTGTGGTGCTTAACCAGATGAATTTTATTTACTGCCACCAGCATCCTGTGTCAAGTAAACTGAAAGAAATGTTTCCTTCTGTTATGTTACTCAGACACAGCTATTTTCTTTTTTTTTTTTTTGCTTTGAAACATCCCTACTTTTTTGGAAGGATTGCTCACTCCTAATGAATTAGTGCTTTTCCTTTACCTAAATCATGTCCTTTACCTTTTTTATGAAGCAGCTCTGCAGTGTATTTCATGTTTGGTTTCCACATAGTTATTAATAACCCTGCAAGAGCTGACCTATGTTTTCCAAATTTTTTCCTCCCATGAAAATCAGTATCTGGTGATTTGGGGTCTGCAGTTTGTCATAAAGTACCTGGCATTTGGTAGAAAATTTAAAGCAATAATGATTTAGCTGACTTGAAGCAAGTGCTATGGGAGTTGCCCTGTCCAGTGGTTTTTGCGAGCCAGACAGTTTCATTGTTCCCAGTCTGATAAAGTCCAAAATGGTGCACTTTTAGGCCCTGGAGATTCCCTATATACACTTACCAAAGGATGTATCTGCTGCAGTTCCTATTTGCAGGTCAGTAGAGAGGCTGAGAGCATTTCCCAAACAGAGACACATGTACAAGCATGCACAACCACACACTGCATTGTCCGACACAAGCGGAACAGAGCCTTTACAGAGCATCTCCCTAAACGCCTACAGTGCTGACATAAAAAAAAATATGGATAGCCCATACACTGACTTAGTCCCTTCCAGCACATGGAGACTAGAGCGAGACCCACAGAAAGTGAATAGTAAGAGCAGGGGAGATGCACCTTAAGAAAAAGCATAGTATTGCTGTTGTCATTCAAGCATGCATATGATCCCCATAACATTTCAGAAAAGGAAAATTGATCCATTCCTTGCTTTGACACAAAATAAATTAATATATACAGACTTTTTTCTTCCTCTTTAGTCTGGAAATTGCTCCTGTGCAACTCCTGAGATAACTGATGTATTCATCTTATTGTTACTCTGCTGCTGTTAAATGTATCTTCCGCATGTAGATTGTACCCTTATTTCACTGAATAACTTAGTTCTTAAAACAGTTTTGAAGCAGAAAAAGAAGTGTTAAATTTTGTCAAAAGGGCTTGTTTTAGAAATACCAAAGCATTAAGTACAAGTTTGAAAGTGGCAGAATCTGCTCTTTATTTACTCTTCAGGATTCTAGCACAGTTAAGATTTATTGCAAAAGTTCAGGTCATGACCTCACAACATGCTCCCCTGAGCAAGACACACCTCTACTTCCTGCTTCCCACAAACCCAGCTATAGTAGTTTCATGTTTGCACATGCTGAAGACCCTCCCTGCTGTGACTTCCAGAAATGAGGTTTTTCAGATACAGGATGCTTATCAAACCAGAACTGAAGGAAAACTGATCTGACATTGCAACATTAAACAAAAAGATAATCTAGCATTGATCAATTAGTTTGATTTACATGCATGTATATTAAAAAAAAACCCCACAAACTTCCAGTGCAACTGCAAAGTAGTACAAAACCAAGAAAACATCCAGCAGGTTCAGTAATGCTGCCAGTGTCTGCAAGCCTATGAGAAGGTAGAGGAGTCCAAAATTCGAAGGTTACGGAAAGGTTGATGACTCATGAGGATGCCATTGCTGACACCGGCCAATAACTGTAAGAGGCTTAGCACAGTACAGCACCAAAACATGTAGAGCGTGACAAAATGCAACCAGTCTTCCAGCTTCTTTAGACAGCCTTCCTGAAAAATCTGCTCCGGACGGACAAAGTCACCCTTGCAGTGAGAATACTCCTTACAGCAGCTTTCAGGGACACAGGCTTTATCATCTAGAGGATGCCAAGAAGCAGCTGTTGCCTTTAGCCAGTCTGTGTAGTTTTGGACCCCACAACACTGCAGCTTCCTCTGTACCGAATCCATAGCCCTGCTGTCAGGACCCTGGGAATGTGTCCCATTGTACTGATAGGCAAGGTAACCCATAGTACTTTTCAGCTCAGAAGCCATCCAAGCAGAGTAGAACCGTACCAGAACTAACAAAGACGCTTCTAGGCAAAGAAGGACTAGCAGCAAGTACATGAGGAATCCTTGCTGACAGCGGGAGCTCTTAATAGAAATAGAGCTAGCCAGAAGTCCAGTAGGTAGTAAGATAAGTGCAGCTGCAACAGCCAGCCAGCCAGGGAGAGCCAAGAAAGACTCCTGAAATAAACATCTGTAGTTCTTGTACATCAGGATCATTGAAACTCCACCAAATGCCAGAGCTGCAGCAGTACCCCAGAAGGCAAAGCCTAGGAACCTCAGCAGAGATTGAGCAAAGGGCCTAAGCCAGGAGCCCTCATAGCAGCATGAAGATTGCAACAATGACGACAACAAAACCACCACCATAGCTGCAACTCTTCTCATTCTGGAGCCCAAACCTTCACCATCACAGCTTAAGAGGCCTCTACCCCACTTATCCAGGTGCAGCAGATGACATCTCCACCCAAAAACAACTGGCAAGGGAGAAACACTGATGAGGCTCCCTCAGCACGAAGACTAAGCCCTGCATCAGCTAGCCATGCGGTGCTGCTCGTTCAGCGTAGCCTGCAGAAACCAAGAGGGTCTGTATCAAGCTTGCTGTCAAGAGGTCATTTACTGTGCTGTTATTTGAGACTTTGAAGGAGGAGGACATCTGGAAAAGGCTGCACCCCTTGCTTTACTACATTCATATGTTCAAGAACTAAATGTAGCGAAATAACCAAGGTGGTTGTCAGCAGTGTTAGTTCAGATCCTGTAGACTGATGAAGTAGTAAATCCAACTATCAAACCTACAGCAGTAGCCAAGATGGCAACAAATGCAAAAGTCAGACTCATTAACAAAGGAATAGTTCAAGCAGAGTTATTCAATCACAGATCTCTGTAGGCAGCACTCACCTAGACTTATTATCCTTCCCAGTATGTTTACCACTCATTAGATTTTATAAGGGGCATGATGATGTTAATAATATTTTGCCCTTTTTTAGTCAGCAAGATTTCTATGTAGATAGCTTCAATTACTCAAGACAGCTGGATGAGAAATCCCTACCATTTCACACTCACAGCCCTCATCATGCTGGTTTGCATCACCAGTGATTTGGCTGAGAGCTGTAATGACTGAATACAAACACTAAGAACTGTATTGAGTTTTCCTTGTGTATAAAGAAAGTGAATTGCATACCAGCTAAATGACTTTACAACAATCAGCCAGCAGAAGAGCTAACTCAAATATGTGATACAGAAGAGGCAAGCAGGGTGGAAAACCTGCGTAAAACTTTCTACAGGCACTAGGAAAGCAGATCCCAAGGCCAACAGTGATTCCCTAACCATCCTGATGAAACCCTGTAACATCTCTTCTGTTTCTCAAGATGCAGAACAGGGCTAGTACAACAGTCATACATAAGGGAGAATACAGAGAAATGATCCTCATTTTCAGAAACTTGAGCACCTGCAGACCCTTCAGAAAATCAGAGTAAGCTGGTGCTCAGATCTCTGGAACCCTGGAAAAGTCTCAGCAAAACAAATGATCCCATGTCTGTCAGATGTTTTACAAGGACCTATTGCTGTTATGTATGCTATGCACACGCAGATGTTGGGCTGATTCCCATCAAAACGTCTTTCTACATGCTGTACAAACATGTCATTAAGGCTAATTATTTTTGAATGAGATAAATTGCTTTTATTATTTTTAATCTTGTCATTAACAGTAATTAACATGCAGTTTTTAACTTGTTAAATCTTAACCAAATGCTTCTTTCAAAGCTGTTCCAGGATGTGTGTTTTCCTGCAACTGTTCCCTGAAGTTTGTCTGCCTTCTCTCCTGTTCAGCTTGCTGCTACCCCAGTCCTCCAGCTGTGATGTTTTTGCTGCCATTCTCTTGAATGTCTTTTTCTAGGCTTTCTGTGTTCTGCATCAGGGACAGGGAGAAGGGGCAAAACAGAAAGGATTTCCCTTCATATCTGTACACACAGGCAAATTACAGTGATTTAATATTTGCACGATGCGAAAGAAACCTATCAGAAAAGTGTGAGGAAACATCAGAAAATACTGTGAAGAGTAACAGCTGCTTATTGCTAGTTTGAAATCTTGTGGAAAAAGCACACGAACCTGCTTTTTTTCCTTTCTGCCTTCTCCCATGCTGATAAAGCTTAATGAGATATTAAGAAATGAATTACAACACTATTTACTTTTAGCTTATTCTGCAGTCTTTGAAATACATTAGAAAGGCTCAAACTGCCTACAGGAGAATGTTACTGCACCTCTTGTTCATTTCAGCTAGGGTAACTGCCATCCCCTCCCTGAATACAGAGAAGAGAATTTCAATGGTTATTGAAGCCTAGAGGCTCTTACCTTTCTAAATATTCCCCAAATATAATAACTTCCCATTTACATAAATCTGACTTTTTGGACCACTCAGCCACTCTGAGGGGTTTTTTTATTTCTTTCATATGGCTGTGGGAGAGTGGGGTTGGGGGAGAGAGGGGTGAGGCAGCTTTTGTACGTGGAGAAGGTTGTGCTGCTGCAGGCTCTAACCCTTCCACCGGCGCCTTCACCTTTGTGTTGGCTCAGCCTCACATAGAGAACTGTGAGCCAGCCTGCAGGAGCAAGGAGCCATCCGCACACAGCCTCCTCCTGAAGTCAGGGCCTTCATGGCAGTGGACAGGAGAACCTGGATGCCTGACTGTTTGCCACGGGAATCAGAAACACCAACACTAAACGCTGCCTGGGAGCCAGTTCCCAGGTAAGAGCTCTCAATGTCCAGTGCCATCTCGGGGAATGGAGCATACCCAGCACCATGCAAGATGAAATTGCTGCAGGGGGGATTAATATTGACAGGGCTGTCTAAAATCCTTCGCCTGTTTTGTGGAGCGACACACTCAGGATAAGAGAGATTCTGCTCCAAATGTTTGCTGGTAAGACAGGCAAGACAAATAAGGACAAGAAAAACATAGAACTGATCCCTGAAGTACCCAAAAGACCTAACTGGCACCCTCAATAGTACTGAGTTTGTGCTAAGTAATTTTACCTGCATGTGGGGCCAAATGCTTGAAAAAAGCAATGAATGAGGTATCCATCAAAAGACTGTAGTGTGACAAAGAGAGTATAGGTCAGGCGGAATAGGAATTCTTCTGTTTTCTTTCCAGTGGTAAACAGCATAACATGATAAATACAGTCCCTGCTTTCTCTGGAGTTTTTTCTGCTTATGAACTGATGAGTATTGAAATTCAAATGTGGGTGTAACAGATAATACATCTTAGATAAACTACGTTCTGGAATGTTGCTGAAAGTATAATCCTTCAACTTAATAAAATGCCAACTGTGTATTTTTTGCATTCATTATTCTTCCAAGACATGACTGATGTTGAACAGCACTGATGTGCCAGGAAGGTCAAAGAGGTTTGTTCCATGTGGGTCCAGGAGTGGGATCAGACAGCTGTCAAGTCAACATTGTGGCTGTGCAAATGCAATGTAGGCAGATGACTAGACTCATTTTAAATGACATGGTGTGTCATACAGATTGATCAGGGAGCACATCTGGGCTCTTGCTCTAATGGGCAACAACTCAAATCAAGATGGCCAGCTAGTCCGTTCAGACTCGTGTGAACAAGAAGAAACCAAGACTTGATCATGGGATCAGGGCACAGTCAGACAAGACCATCTTCTAAGTTTAATATAAACCTCATATAAAATGAGACAAGATCTCAAAGACAGAACCTCAGCCACTGCATTCATTGACACAGTAAGAGCCCTAAAGCTGCCTTTAGGCAGTTCCCCTGTAACCCATGCACACAAGAAGCTTCTGTAGCTGGACCTTGTAGGTGAAGTTAAAGTGCTCTGGAAGAGGTTTAGCTTGAGAGTTTAGAACATTTTTTTAAAGGTCATCTTAGATTACAGCACACCCATAGCATAGGATGTGACTTTAAAACCTTACTAAAACACAGAGATTTTTATCAACTTCATCTACCCCAGCTTTTACAGAATCATAGAACAAAACCATAGAATGCATTGAGCTGGAAGGGACCCCCAAAGGTCATCTAGTCCAACCCCCCTGCAGTGAGCAGGGACATCTTTAGCTAGATCAGATTGCCCAGAGCCCCAAGCAAGCCTGATCTTAAATGTCTCCAGGGACGGGGCCTCCACCACCTCTCTCGACAAACTGTTCCAGTGCTATACCACCCTTAAGGTAAAGAACTCCTTCCTAATACCCAATCTAAATCTACCTGTTTCTAGTTTAAAACTATTGTCCCTTGTCCTATCACTCCGTGCCCTTGTAAATAGTCCCTCATTAGCTTTCCTATAGGCCCCTCTCAGGCACTGGTAGGCCGCTATTAGGTCTCTCCAGAGTCTTCTCCAGGCTGAACAACCCCAGCTCTCAGCCTGTCCTCGTAGGAGAGGTGCTCCAGCCCCCCATCATTTTAGTGGCTCTCCTCTGGACCTGCTCCAACAGGTCCATGTCCTTGTACTGAGGGCTCCACAGCTGGATGCAGTACTGCAGGGAGGGTCTCAACAGAGCAGAGCAGAGGGGCAGAATCACCTCCCTTGACCTGCTGGCCACACTTCTCTTGATACAGCCCAGGATGTGATTGGCCTTCTGGGCTGCAAGCGCATTGTTGGCTCATATCCAGCTTTTCATCCACCAGTACCCCAAAGTCCTTCTCGGCAGGACTGCTCTCTATCACATCATCCCCCAGCTTGTATTGATTACGAGGATTGCCCTGGCCCAGCTGCAGGACCTTGCCCTTGGCCTTGTTGAACCTCATGAGATTCACATGGGCCCACCTCTCCAGCTTGTCCAGGTCCCTCTGGATGGCATCCCATCCCCCAGGCGTGTCGACTGCACCAGTCAGCTTGGTGTCATCTGCAAACTTGCTGAGGGTGCACTCGGTCCCACTGTCTATGTCATTGATGAAGATATTAAACAGCACTGATCTCAGCACAGACCCCTGAGGGACATCACTCATCACTCGTCTCCATCTGGACATCAAGCAATTGACCACTACCCTCTTTTACATAAAGCTTCCCCCCAACACACCCACTCTCCTGATCCTTCAGTGGCTGGAAGTGGCGTGTGACCCAGCAGGGCTAGCAGATTCAGAAAAAGGGTAGGGGGTCTCATTGGCATCACTCCTCCGCTGATTCTGACATTGTCTGCTGGCCCTGATAGTATACCTTTCCCAAGCTGAAAAGACTTCACACACAATTTTTCTAGTTTCCAAGAAAAGCCCTTGCTGCATGTAAGTTGACAGCAAATAAACAGTAATATCTTGGGGGGAAAAAAGAAAAGAAAGAAACTGATTCTTCTCAATCAGATCATTCAAGCTATGATGGGTAGTCAAAACACCACACAGCCGAACGACTGAGTACCAAGT